GAGAATAGAATTCCTAGCTACAGTGTAAAGTTTTAGGTAATATTACCCAAGGTTCAGTCGCTTTGTCTGGACTAAGGACTGGAAACGTTTAAATCAATACGGTTTAAAGTAACATTTGGTTTAAGGGCATAGTCTCTTGTCTCTCAATAACCAGAAGAACTTATTACAAGTACTAACTTCTGGAATCACTGAGATCGTCTCGTGACACCTGTCACACTTTGACCAAGGATTTCTCCAGATCTGCAAAAAGCATTGCTTCGACCCTTTATCGTGGCCTCCATCACCACGCATGGCTGAATATATACAGTGTCGTTTTTCTCTGCTTCCCACCGTTTTCATTACTACAAAAGCGAAACCCTATGTACATGTTCATGAAATATTTGTAATTGATTCCTTCTGTTTGTTAAGGTCTTTCTTGACATTTCTGGGCGAACTTCAGAATAGTTTTTAGCTGCATTTTACCGCGGTTTTCTTTCAGCCTTTTCACCAAGGCAACCATTTCAACAGATGCTGGTGATCAGACGCAGAATTCATCGTGTCATTGTCACAAGTGCCGAGGAGAATCCATTGCTTGATTTTCTGCTCGCAGGCGTGACATGGGGAAACTAGACACATCGGTTCAGGGGCGCTGCCACACAGAAATTTGGGGGTATGGAAAGGGGGTGAACGGCTAAGCCCCATTCAAATCTTCCAGGGAGAGGGTGCGGGTGTTCAGAAAGCCTGAGCCCACAGGTTGTAATCTCCTGCAGCGTTTGCTGATCAGGTATGTGTTCTTTTTTTGTGTATAAAGGCTGCTGTCTAAACGTCCTACTGCTTCCGCCCCCCTCCTCGCCCCCACACACACTTTCATCAAACTTCTTACGCACAATTCAGTGGATTTATTTCTTGATACTAGCTTGAGAATGCCCAATGTGCAGTAACGTCGATTGTGATCTTTTTCTTATTCTTTACGTCCTCTTTTACCGCTTCGGGTGTCGAGGGAGATATAAGGTCCTGCTTCATGCTCTGCTGGCTGCTTCAACCATAGACACATCGTGGTACTGTAGAGTTTGATGTTATCTTCCCATCTTGTTCTTAGTGAACCTCTAACTATACGTCCCTCTCCTCTTTTAGTATATGCCTTGTATGGTAGAGCATTAGAAGGCATTCTCTCCAAGTGATCAAACCATTTGATTTGCTGTCTTTGTATGTAATTTAGAATTGGTTTTGTGCCGATTATTCTCGTATGATCTCATTCCTAATTTTATCTCTTCTGGTCACTCCTACATCTTTCTCTTTTATGTTTTGTTGTGAGTGACCCTGTCTGGTACTGGTAGCATAGGGTGGGAATGAATATGCTTTTCATGAGATGTTTCTTTGTGCTAATTGGGATTGTCTTATGCTGAAAGAGGGGAGCTAACTGTCCCAATATTTGGTCAGCTTGCAATGGATGTCAATTTCTTCGTCCAGTTTACCATCTGGAGTAAATGCTGTTTCAACATATTTGAACATCTGAGTTTAAATATCTTGGAACATCATTCAATGAAGATGTTAATTTCGATTGTGATAACATAACATAATCATGAGTTTACCCAGGACGTAGGCAACACATCTCTCCAAAGATTTCGTTCTTTGAAGTTCTAGATAAGCAATATCTTCTTTCTTTCTTTTTACTTTCTGGCTTTCTGTCTGTCTTTCTTACTTTCGTTTTTTCTTTCTTTCTTTCTTTCTTTCTTTCTTTCTTTCTTTCTTTCTTTCTTTCTTTCTTTCTTTCTTTCTTTCTTTCTTTCTTTCTTTCTTTCTTTCTTTCTTTCTTTCTTTCTTTCTTTCTTTCTTTCTTTCTTTCTTTCTTTCTTTCTTTCTTTCTTTCTTTCTTTCTTTCTTTCTTTCTTTCTTTCTTTCTTTCTTTCTTTCTTTCTTTCTTTCTTTCTTTCTTTCTTTCTTTCTTTCTTTCTTTCTTTCCTTGAATTTCCACCTGTTTCTACAGTCCTGTTTAAATTTCCACCTTTTTCTATAGTCCTGTCTAAAAATCCACCTGTTTCTATTTTCCTGTTTAAATTTCCACCTGTTTCTACAGTCCTGTCTAAAAATCCACCATTTTCTATAGTCCTATCTAAATATCCACCTGTTTCTATTGTCCTGTTCAAATATCCACCTGTTTCTATAGTCCTGTCTGAATATCCACCTGTTTCTATAGTGCTGTCTAAATATCCACTTGTTTCTATAGTCCTGTCTAAATATCCACCTGTTTCTATTGTCCTATATAAATATCTATCTGTTTCTATAGTCCTGAATAAATATCCACCTGTTTCTATAGTCCTGCCTACATATCCACCTGTTTCTATAGTCCTTTTCGAATATCCACCTGTTTCTATTGTCCTGTTCACATATCCGCCTGTTTCTTTTGTCCTGTTCAAATATCCAACTGTTTCTATTGTCCTGTTCAAATATTCAACTGTTTCTATTGTCCTGTTCAAATATTCAACTGTTTCTATTGCCCTGTTCAAATATTCAACTGTTTCTATTGTCCTGTTCAAATATGCAACTGTTTCTATTGTCCTCTTCAAATATGCAACTGTTTCTATTGTCTTGTTCAAATATGCAACTGTTTCTATTGTCCTATTCAAATATCCAACTGTTTCTATTGTCCCGTTCAAATATCCATCTGTTTCTATTGTCCTGTTCAAATATCCAACTGTTTCTATTGTCCTGTTAAAATATCCAACTGTTTCTATTGTCCTGTTCAAATATCCATCTGTTTCTATTGTCCTGTTCAAATATCCATCTGTTTCTATTGTCCTGTTCAAATATCCAACTGTTTCTATTGCCCTGTTCAAATATCCAACTGTTTCTATTGTCCTGTTCAAATATCCATCTGTCTCTATAGTCCTGACCAAATGTCCATCTGTCTCTATAGTCCTGTTTAAATATCCACCTGTCTCTGTAGTCATGTTCAAATGTCCACCTGTCTCTGTAGTCATGTTCAAATGTCCCCCTGTCTCTGTAGTCCTGTTCAAATGTCCACCTGTCTCTGTAGTCATGTTCAAAGGTAGACCTGTCTCTGTAGTCCTGACCAAATGTCCATCTGTCTCTATAGTCCTGTTTAAATGTCCCCCTGTCTCTGTAGTCCTGTTCAAATGTCCACCTGTCTCTGTAGTCATGTTCAAAGGTCTACCTGTCTCTGTAGTCATGTTCAAATGTCCACTCGCCTATATAGTCCTGTTCAAATGTTCCCCTGTCTCTGTAGTCCTGTTCAAATGTCCTCCTGTCTCTGTAGCCTTGTTCAAATATCCACCTGTCTCTGTAGTCATGTTCAAAGGTCCCCCTGTCTCTGTAGTCCTGTTCAAATGTCCACCTGTCTCTGTAGTGATGTTCAAAGGTCCACCTGTCTCTGTAGTCATGTTCAAAGGTCCACCTGTCTCTGTAGTCCTGACCAAATGTCCATCTGTCTCTATAGTCTTGTTTAAATGTCCCCCTGTCTCTGTAGTCCTGTTCAAATGTCCACCTGTCTCTGTAGTCATGTTCAAAGGTCCACCTGTCTCTGTAGTCATGTTCAAATGTCCACTCGCCTCTATAGTCCTGTTCAAATGTCCCCCTGTCTCTGTAGTCCTGTTCAAATGTCCACCTGTCTCTGTAGTCATGTTCAAAGGTCCACCTGTCTCTGTAGTCATGTTCAAAGGTCCACCTGTCTCTGTAGTCCTGACCAAATGTCTATCTGTCTCTATAGTCCTGTTTAAATGTCCCCCTGTCTCTGTAGTCCTGTTCAAATGTCCACCTGTCTCTGTAGTCATGTTCAAAGGTCCACCTGTCTCTGTAGTCATGTTCAAATGTCCACTCGCCTCTACAGTCCTGTTCAAATGTCCCCCTGTCTCTGTAGTCCTGTTCAAATGTCCTCCTGTCTCTGTAGCCCTGTTCAAATGTCCCCTGTCTCTGTAGTCATGTTCAAATGTCCACTCGTCTCTATAGTCCTGTTCAAATGTCCCCCTGTCTCTGTAGTCCTGTTCAAATGTCCACCTGTCTCTGTAGTCCTGTTTAAATGTCCCCCTGTCTCTGTAGTCCTGTTCAAATGTCCCTCTGTCTCTGTAGTGCTGTTCAAATGTCCACTGTCTCTGTAGTCCTGTTCAAATGTCCCCCTGTTTCTGTATTCCTGTTTAAATGTCCACTCGTCTCTATAATCCTGTTAAAATGTCCCCCTGTCTCTGTAGTCCTGTTCAAATGTCCTCCTGTCTCTGTAGTCCTGTTCAAATGTCCCCCTGTCTCTGTAGTCCTGTTCAAATGTCCCCCTGTCTCTGTAGTGCTGTTCAAATGTCCCCCTGTCTCTGTAGTCCTGTTCAAATGTCCACCTGTCTCTGTAGTCATGTTCAAAGGTAGACCTGTCTCTGTAGTCCTGACCAAATGTCCATCTGTCTCTATAGTCCTGTTTAAATGTCCCCCTGTCTCTGTAGTCCTGTTTAAATGTCCACCTGTCTCTGTAGTCCTGTTCAAATGTACACCTGTCTCCGCAGTCCTGTTCAAATGTACACCTGTCTTTGTAATCCTGTTCAAAGGTCTCCCTGTCTCTGTAGTCCTGTCCAAATGTCCACCTGTCTCTGTAGTCCTGTCCAAATGTCCACCTGTCTCTGAAGATCTGTTCAAATGTCCCCCTGTCTCTGTAGTCTTGTCCAAATGTCCACCTGTCTCTGTAGTCCTGTTCAAATGTCCACCTGCCTCTGTAATCCTGTTCATATGTCCACCTGTCTCTGTAGTCCTGTTCAAATGTCCACCTGTCTCTGTAGTCCTGTTCAAATGTCCACCTGTCTCTGTAGTCCTGTTCAAATGTCCACCTGTCTCTGTAGTCATGTTCAAATGTCCAACTGTCTCTATAGTCCTGTTCAAATGTCCCACTGTCTCTATAGTGCTGTTCAAATGTCTCCCTGTCTCTGTAGTCCTGTTCAAATGCCCCCCTGTCTCTGTAGTCCTGTTCAAATGTCCCCCTGTCTCTGTAGTCCTGTTCAAATGTCCCTCTGTCTCTGTAGTGCTGTTCAAATGTCCCCTGTCTTTGTAGTCCTGTTCAAATGTCCCCCTGTTTCTGTATTCCTGTTTAAATGTCCACTCGTCTCTATAATCCTGTTAAAATGTCCCCCTGTCTCTGTAGTCCTGTTCAAATGTCCTCCTGTCTCTGTAGTCCTGTTCAAATGTCCCCCTGTCTCTATAGTCCTGTTCAAATGTCCCCCTGTCTCTGTAGTGCTGTTCAAATGTCCCCCTGTCTCTGTAGTCCTGTTTAAATGTCCACCTGTCTCTGTAGTCCTGTTCAAATGTACACCTGTCTCCGCAGTCCTGTTCAAATGTACACCTTTCTTTGTAATCCTGTTCAAAGGTCTCCCTGTCTCTGTAGTCTTGTCCAAATGTCCACCTGTCTCTGTAGTCCTGTCCAAATGTCCACCTGTCTCTGAAGATCTGTTCAAATGGCCCCCTGTCTCTGTAGTCCTGTCCAAATGTCCACCTGTCTCTGTAGTCCTGTTCAAATGTCCACCTGCCTCTGTAATCCTGTTCAAATGTCCACCTGTCTCTGTAGTCCTGTTCAAATGTCCACCTGTCTCTGTAGTCCTGTTCAAATGTCCACCTGTCTCTGTAGTCATGTTCAAATGTCCAACTGTCTCTGTAGTCCTGTTCAAATGTCCCACTGTCTCTATAGTGCTGTTCAAATGTCTCCCTGTCTCTGTAGTCCTGTTCAAATGCCCCCCTGTCTCTGTAGTCCTGTTCAAATGTCCCCCTGTCTCTGTGGTCCTGTTCAAATGTCCCCCTGTCTCTGCAGTCCTGTCCAAATGTCTCCCTGTCTCTGTAGTCCTGTTCAAATGTCTCCCTGTCTCTGTAGTCCTGTTCAAATGTCCCCCTGTCTCTGTGGTCCTGTTCAAATGCCCCCCTGTCTCTGTAGTCCTGTTCAAATGTCCCCCTGTCTCTGTGGTCCTGTTCAAATGTTACCCTGTCTCTGCAGTCCTGTCCAAATATTCATGGCCCTGCACCAAGTATTCATCCGCGGGTGAAGTCACAAATAAAACTGCCGCAACGGCACGAGAACGCCTGCTCCCAACTCTGATCTCGTATTGCCAGCGACATATGGCTGTCTTGACACCCCTTGTTGGTTCCCGTTATGACCCAGGATGTCACTAGCATTGTTTACATATCGATTGCACGATCCTTCTGATGAGGCCACACGCGCGCAGTCCGGTCGCCATTTGCTTCTTATCCTGCGCGGGACGGTAATGGTGGTGTATCCGCTCCGGGCTGCTACCTGAGAAGTTGACCACCCTGTTGTCAGAAGATCTCAGTCTGGCTGGATGGCAAACAAGGCCTGCAGTTTTGACACTGTAAGACACACAAAAATGCTCAGTACTGGTGGCTTACTAACAGGGCAAGCCCAGATACCCGGTTCAGCCTTCAAGGTAGTATAATTAGGTCACTACTATCGGTCACACAGCGGGGTGGGACCTGAAGTCCTGAGCAGGTGAGGAAAAGATGTTATTGTGTCAAAGGCTGTAGCCCTTGCAATAAAACTTCAGGAATCCACATTCTAGTGTTTTTCTTTCTTTCTTTCTCTTTCTTTCTTTCTTTCTTTCTTTCTTTCTTTCTTTCTTTCTTTCTTTCTTTCTTTCTTTCTTTCTTTCTTTCTTTCTTTCTTTCTTTCTTTCTTTCTTTCTTTCTTTCTTTCTTTATTTATTTATTTTTTCCCTCTTTCTTTCTTTCTTTCTTTCTTTATTTCTTTTGGACCTAATATTATATGGGTTTGACTTTTTTAATAGTCTCTCCAAAGAAATGTGCTACTGCCGTGTCCTGACTCATTTTGACTCACACAAGTTTTAGCACACGAGTCGTATTCTAAACAAAGGTCGTGTATTAGGCAACTTTCCGAGAAAGAAGACACAAACAATAGATACAAATATCAAAAGCAACTGTTTTGCGTGTAAACATGACGTATACAACACTGCACTATTATACGCAGACGTATACCGAGGTACCACTGTCGGCTTGTTGTTTTCATTTACAAAAAAAAAAAAACATCGAATGTAAGGATTATCATATAAACAACGTGAACTACAGACTATAACAGAACTGGCATATTTGTATTAAAAAATTAGGTTCTGTCTGCATGCTGAAGGTTGGCTATAGTGTAAACGTACCCCCCCCCCCCCCCCCCCCCCCCCCCTCGCCTCCTCTCCCCGAGTCTTTGCGAATATTTCCTGGTAAGACCCTTAAGTTTTCCACGGTACGATTTTCGTACTTTTATCAAACAATCACGAAAACGTTACAAAAAATTTTAAACTGTCCACATTGGGAATAAAACCTTAGTACTCACTGGTGTCTGACTGGCTTGTTACCCCACTAGGACATCACACTGAGCGAATAACACCCGGTGACACATATCGGTCTGCGTGGTCTCTAGTCATGGCCCCAGTAAGGGCTGGGTTTTTGTTCGCGTGGACGTCTAGTAATTCCTCTGGTCTCTGGGTAGTAAGATCGGACGCCTGTGTGTATTGTTGTGCACGTAAAAATTCCCAGGCAGAGAGTAGCCTTACGGCGGTGACCGGACGAAATTTGGAGTTGAAAACCTACCCAAAGTATTTCAGGATCCTCGCTGGTGCTACGGAGTGTGTGCAATGCGCTGAGATTATTCGGACTCCGGCTTGAATCAGAAGCAGAACAGAGCACTTATGGGTTACTACCCTTGTGCCAGGATGTTGATCCGTCGTCTAAACCTAATATATAGATCCTTGGACATCCATACCTCTATGTCTGTGGGCGAGTCTTTTACAGGACATTGTAGAACCAACTCTCAGCATTTTTGTCCCTTGCTGTTTATGATTTCTCTGGGTTATTTGACGAGCATTAGTTTGCCATTGCTTACTAAACGATCGGCTCTCGAAGCCACTGTCTAAAACATAGGGGGGGGGGGGTGGTTAAGCCACCGCAATTGGTTTCGGAAATTATTCGGGTCGTCGCCGGAGTTACAGAGGTCGTCCTTTGTGTGATGCTCTCGACAGGCAGCTAGCTGATTTGCGGAGACAGACAGTGACATCAAGGAAAAACCCCGGTGCAATGCAGTCGGACCTCTAAAAACAAGGGATACCGGTATTGTCCTTATCAAAGGGACATAACAACAATATTTAAACTAAGGCACGAAACACGCAATCATCATCATCCTGTATGGCTGGCGTAGGCGACGATGTCTCTACACAACTCCTGCTTATCTCCAAGAGATCATATTAAAGCATGTACTAATAACTGTCCATGAATGATGAAGGCCAACCTTGAACCTTCTCTCCATATCATGCCCTGTAACTTTTTCTATATTTCTGGTTCAATATTGCTGTTTTATGTCCCAATGTCAGATGCAATTGCTGTTTAATTAATCCAGTTTCATCCTTTTTAGGACGAAATTTTTTGTTATGTGAAGCCCTACCCTGGCTTTTGCCAGGGGCCGCAATATAGGCAGGCCATAAATATGGCCAATTGACTGAACGCGGTTTCTGGGACCTCTCCACGGCGATCCTCATCCACATGGTGGCACTTTGTGTCATTGGATGTTTATCGCTTGTGTGATGTCTTAGTGGGGTAGAAAGTCAGTCAGTCAGTCAATTGCTGTTTTATGTCCCAATGTCAGATGCAATTGCTGTTTTATGTCCAAATGTCAGATGCAATTGCTGTTTTATGTCCAAATGTCAGATGCAATTGCTGTTTTATGTCCAAATGTCAGATGCAATTGCTGTTTTATGTCCCAATGTCAGATGTAATTGCTGTTTTATTTTAAGCCCAATCCCGGCTGTCAGGCTAATTGTTGAACAAGGTTTCTGGGACTTGTGCTCGGGTGATTCTCATCCTTACGGTGGCACATTGTGTCTCCCAGTTATCACTCGTTGTAAGGTCTTGTTGGGGTTGTACGTCATTCACTCACATTGACTGTCATTCACTCACAGTGACTGTAATTCACTCACATTGACTGTCCACCAGATGTCATTGCAGCAATGTTGTGTTTGTGACAGAGGAAACAAAGTGTGTATGAGAGAGGGGGGTGGTGGGGGGGGGAAGGGGAAGAGAGAGAGAAGGGGGGGGGGGGAGAGAAAGAGAAAGAGTTAGCTTGCATATAGAAAAACCTGATACTTCATACCACACAGTATTGTTATAGACCTACACTTCATACATGACTACAAACTTAACTCCTTCTTTTGCTCCATTCGTGAGCTTAAGTGTTTGCGAAACTAAACAATTTTTCTTACTGGAATTAATGTAAATACAATTAACTAGCTCGCATGCCACAGAAACATATTGTTTGCGACTCATTTTTCTCAAATGGATTTGCGTGTGGAAAAAAATATAAATAAAAAATATACAGAAAAACTTTCCCTTTTTAGTTTATAGTTTCTGGCACAAGTGGATGGTGCCGTAATAACATTGGGTAAATGTGTAGACTTCTCAGGTGAGTTTTTTCTCATGTTGTATCCTGGGAAGTGGTTCGATTGTTCGCTCGATGACTGGTGTTTTCACAAGATAACAATGCAGAGAAACTTTCTTTCGGTTGGACAATTCTTCGAAAATGGGACACCACAATGTTATTGACATTTCCACTGCTCTGCTGGACACAGTTTCATTAGACACTGTTTTGTTAGGGTGGCGACTCTCAGTGAAAACCAGCACATCATTCCACTTGCTTTACATGTCTGTGATCTCAGCACTTGAAGCATTGTGCCATCTATTCTTCCTCCTCTTCCTCTACTGAGTGCTGCTCCTGCATAACTTTCAGCTGTTCACATTGCAACTCAAGTTCTTCCTGATGACAACTGACGCTGTTCACATTGCAACTCAAGTTCTTCCTGAGGACAACTGACGCTGTTTAGATTGCAACTCAAGTTCTTCCTGAGGACAACTGACGCTGTTCACATTGCAACTCAAATTCTTCCTGAGGACAACTGACGCTGTTCACATTGCAACTCAAGTTCTTCCTGAGGACAACTGACGCTGTTCACATTGCAACTCAAGTTTTTCCTGAGGACAACTGACGCTGTTCGCATTGCAACTCAAGTTCTTCCTGAGGACAACTGACGCTGTTCACATTGCAACTCAAGTTCTTCCTGAGGACAACTGACGCTGTTCACATTGCAACTCAAGTTCTTCCTGAGGACAACTGACGCTGTTCACATTGCAACTCAAATTCTTCCTGAGGACAACTGACGCTGTTCACATTGCAACTCAAGTTCTTCCTGAGGACAACTGACGCTGTTCACATTGCAACTCAAGTTCTTCCTGAGGACAACTGACGCTGTTCACATTGCAACTCAAGTTCTTCCTGAGGACAACTGACGCTGTTCACATTGCAACTCAAGTTCTTCCTGAGTACAAACATAAGTACAAATGATGTTGTTCAAAAGTTGAGAACATGGCGCTAAAGCCGTGTTTGTGCGCTTGTGCACCGAGGCACTGTTTGCACGTCAAGTCAAAATTTGTTCAGAAACTGAGTCCGTGGGCCGATTTGTTCGCGACTAGATGCGTTTGTGATCTGTGATACCAGTGTAGATAGAAATATCTTCTGTCTCACACGTGACTTGATAATGCCATGAATCTTTACACCAGCAGTTCTCAAACTGTGGGGCGCGACACTTTTTTGGGTCCAACCACCCTTTCACAGGATTTGCCAAAGACCATTGGAAAGCACATATGCATTGGGGTAAAGAAGAAGTAAGAAAATAATTGTATGTCTGGGGATCGCCACAACATGAGGAACTGTATGAAAGGGTCGCCACAACACGAGGAACTGAATGAAAGGGTCGCCACAACATGAGGAACTGTATGAAAGGGTCGCCACAACATGAGGAACTGTATGAAAGGGTCGCCACAACACGAGGAACTGTATGAAAGGGTCGCCACAACACGGGGAACTGTATGAAAGGGTCGCCACAACATGAGGAACTGTATGAAAGGGTCGCCACAACATGAGGAACTGTATGAAAGGGTCGCCACAACACGAGGATCTGTATGAAAGGGTCGCCACAACATGAGGAACTGTACGAAAGGGTCGCCACAACAAGAGGAACTGTATGAAAGGGTTGCCACAACATGAGGAACTGTATGAAAGGGTCGCCACAACATGAGGAACTTAAGAAAGGGTCGCCACAACATGAGGAACTGTAAGAAAGGGTCGCCACAACACAAGGAACTGTAAGAAAGGGTCGCCACAACATGAGGA